CCTGTACAATTCAGTGGATTTTCATGACATTTTGCACTATTTCTACCGTTCACATTCAACACTCATTAGGTTAGAGTACCAAAAACTGAGGTAATACTGGTATTGAAGGACTAGAGTATCGCAGACAATAAGTTTGTCTTTCCAACTATTTTAGATAAAAATCAAAGGATTGAGAAAAATAGGTTCGTAGTTCCAGCGTGAACCCGGTACATGGAGCCTGCCTGCCACAGCCACTTCTAGCCATGTGTTGTGCTACATCTAAGCAGACCGAGGTACTCTAACAAATTATACAAGATTTTCTCAAAGTAAGAATTAAACGTTGGCCGGTTATTTTACATATTTGTGAAAATGGCGAAGAGTCAATCACAAAACATTACGCTTATACAAAGGAAGCCGGTCGTAAACAAAAGACAACAAAAGATCTCTCTTAAAAACTAAGTGAACTCAGAAACTACAGAGTTATGTCACATTTCCCTTCATCACTGAAGACCGTCGGCTTGTTAGTTAGTTTATTAAAGAGGCGGGACCTCTGAGTTTCCTGTCCATCTCCGAAAGGACCGGGCTAAATGGGAAATTCATGTTAAGTGCCTTTCCCAAGGACACAATCAGACCGAGCTGACACTCTAACCCAAGAACCCGCAATCTCAAGCTTACAGGTCCGGCTGACAAAGGGAAAGAACAGAAGTAGGAAATAGGACTAAGACATACCAGTGGTGTCCTCCAAATGAATGCAAGTGCAAACTGATTTTGACAACTGATTTACTGGACTTTAACTTTAGCATTTTACAAAATGGACACATTGTAAGACAGATGTTATACAGAAAAAGATGTGAAATGTTAATGTTTGTTCCTCTATTTGCCTTAACGACATCACATCGACGTCAAACGAAGGCTCTGAATCATTGAGGCAAAACCTTGACTTAGTATCAATCTCCAAGACAATGGCAGTGGAGTGTCTTCAGAAACACAGAAAGAAAACGTTTTTAAAACATACTTGTAGTTTTACCGTGTTCACTATTTCAATAAACCTACATTGTTTAATTTCACATGCCCAGTGCTTTGTTTTCCCTTTGGCAAAAAGTGTATGTTCAATACAAAAATATGCATAAACTGGTTTCATTTTTATAACAAATTCAAAATGTGTTCCATACATACATATATTATGTTCACTGTTTCATTTAGTGAAAAAAGCTCCATGAAACGCACAACCTCTTCTCTCTCACACCACATGATCGTATTGTAACAAAATTATAACACATATTCTTGAAAAACTTAGGTATCATTATCGAAGAGGGAATTACACTGATTATGTCCTACAGCCCAGCACCTGGATTTTATGTCTGTAACTTTCCATTAAAGACTATTTATGTCCTGTGACCAAGAGTACAACATAAAAAATTATGTTTTAACTTGTTTTGATAACTAACTGTATCTGGTTACCTGACAATATATATAATAGGAAAGACAGTCTGAGTGTTGGGAGGGTAGCAACTACAAAGAAACACTGGAAAAAGGAGTATCACGTTTTCAAAAGTAATCAGGCTGACCGTACCCGTAATACATTAAAAAGCATAAAGCTTACAAAAAAAGTGAAAGGAGGTATAAAATGTGCACGGCATATAATATGGAATTATAAAACATTTTCACCTCCAATATTAGTTTTTAGTGTGAATACAACATAGCACAGAAACAACAACGACAATTACAAATGATGTTAAAAAAGAACATAATGAAAAAACTGTTCTTACTTTAGATGTAAAAGATGCCATCATCAAACTCCCAGTAACCACACACGCACACACAAAAAAAAACCACACAAAAAACCCTCCAACCAAACCAAACAAAAGGGTCAAGTGAAAAACAGGGAAGTCACAACTTAGCATGTTTTTGACGCTTTTTATGATGGACTTGGCTTGTTTTTGACTTGATTTGCTTTAACTTTAACGAAAATACAGTTTGTGAATGAGTTAGCTGGGTTTTTTCACTGGGTCGGTTTCATAAAAGGATTTTCAACAGCAACTGTAACTGTCACAAGTTAAGGGCAAGTGCCTTGATTTTGTTCTAAAAATGGATTTACACTGTTTTTCCCTAGACCCCTCCAAATGCATCCAGATGGATATGGGTGATATTTTAGCTTTGTTTTTAAAATTATAAATAATAGAGCTTGGGGGAATAGAAGTAATCACTAGAAGCCAAAGTGCTCAGCCTTTGTACCAAAATTATCTTGATTATTTTATATATACATACACACGCAAAAACACATACACACTCACATACACACACATACAAATGCACATACATTCATGCATACATACATACATGCAAACACACATTCATAAAGGAATTTTCACAGGAATCCCCCCCCCCCCCCCCCCCCGGCCCCAATCCACCCACACTCTAATTGTAAGCTAGCTCACAGATCTCTCATTCAGCAATAAAGACCCTGGTAAAACTCATGTATGATAAGGGTAGTCTTCGGTGATGTTCACAAGCAAGAAGCACGCACGCTTTTAACTAAAAAGAAAGTGGAAAATGTCAGGCACTCACTCTTTTCGGGCTCTTCATACAATTCTTCAGACTGGAAAAAGCAAAATGCAAGGGCATCAGCATACAACCATATACACAAATGGAGCCATACCTGATCTAAAGTACATCTGCATTATTACAGATAGGTCCCCTATTTGGAGTTAATTACGGTAAAATAGCAGCACAAAAAGTATATTTAGCTGTGATTCAGAATATATTACTGTTTGTGTTGTGCCTACAAATGACAAGGTACTTATAATCCATTATTAAACATATTACTGTTTTTCAACGACATGACAAGCAATGGCAACTAATATACATGTAATAATGAACCTAAGGATAGCTTTACAGACACTTTACCATGAATTCCATTTTCAAGCACAAGCACTTCATGACTACCAGAACATCAGAAGAGGTGGACGCAGAGATAATTTTTGAGGTAAAATAATTACAAACAGATAAAACTATAGAAACCATTTGACAGCAACGATCTGAAGAAAGGAAGCAAGTACGGTAGCAATGTTGAAAAAATATAAAGGTGAAAAAGTAAAGACAGGAAAACAATGAACCAAAAAAAAAGGCAAATGAAGGAAGATCCGGCTGGGGTGAGGGTGGGGGGGAGAAAAGAAAGTGAGGAAGTAGACGCGAGGGGGGGGGTGGATGACAGAGGAAGCGAAGGGGACAAGGGAAAAGAGAAGGGAGAAGAGAAGGAGGAGGAGGAAGGAAGCACAGGCGAAGGGGTGAAGAGAAAGGGGAGGAGATGGACGGGAAGAGGACGAGAAGGGATAAGAGGGGGAGAGGGGAAATGGAAGGAAAGGGGGAGAAGAGAGGGGAGGGGAAGAAGGATGAGGAGGAAAAAAGAGCTATAACAACAACAATACAACAACAGTATCAACTGTAAAAACCACAACAACAGTAACATGAACAACAAGAACAAGAACAACAGAAGCAAACACAGCTAAAACAAGAGAAGCCTTTTGATAACTATACAATTCAACTTCAACCAAAAACACCACCACATCATGCAAACCTTATTAACTTGAACCTGAAAAGAATGAGAAGGGGAATGTGTGATTGCGCCATGCATAACCAAAGCTGATCTTTCACCTACTCCTAATCTTATGCCTTCGAATACATGCACACACATAAACCAAATAAATCAAACAGTTAATACGCAAGCCGAAAGAATCAAACACGATATGAACACTTTTTGATAAAACAAACATTTTGCAAGTACAAAGTGCTTTACAATGCTGTGTGATTCACTGCTAATTCTATTGTGATACGGGACAGAGTATGCACAAGTGAATGATCTACAAGATGAGCGAAATATATTTATATACTTGTCACTTAGAAAATAACCCAGTCCCGACATTCTCATCAAATGGGTGCATGCTGTGTTTAGTTCAGAATCGAAACGGTAACACAAGAGAATCTGTCGTTCAAAGAACATCTTTAGTGGTCAAAAAAAGAAATGTGATCCTGGTGCCTAAATACTCCCAACAAAAAAAGATTCAAGAGACGTGAGAGTTAACAGTGAGAAAAAAAAAATTGAGAGAGACAAAAAACAATAAAATATTCCAAAAAAGTAAAGTAAAAAAAGATTTCCAAGCAGAAATCTATGCATTATTAATAGTACAAGTCAAAGAATCACATAAAGTCGCCTAAACTACATACATTATACACACAAACAGAGAGAGAGAGAGAGAGAGAGAGAGAGAGAGAGAGAAAGAGAGAGAGAGAGAGTGACAAACAGACAGACAGACAGATAGACAAACAGAAACAGAGACAGAGACAGAGAGACAAGACTTGAGAGATTGAAAGAGAAAATGAGAGAATAAGAAAGAAGATGAGCAGGAAGACAGGGGGAAAGAAGAGCATTGTCTCTGATGTTAACATTGCTGTAACAAGGTTTGAATGGAATAAACCCATCGACTCAAAACATCTCTTTAAAAATCTCTGTTAATTTCTACAAACTGAGAGATACGCTTACAAAAAGTGCTGCAGAGCGAATAATGTCAAAACGGTAAGCACCCCTCTCGCTAGTACTATCATTCTTCTTCTTCTTTTAACTATTATTACATGTATTTCTATTAGTAGTACATTTATGTTATTATTATTTTATTAATAATATTTTTTTTTTTACTAGTATATTTGTACAACATACTATCATTTTACGGGTTAACAAAAAGAAAACTCAAAACAGAAAAAAAAAATCACAGAAAAAAAGAAAACAAAGTTCTGAGATTAAAATTGAGCCCAAATACAAATCCATCAATCAGCTTAAGAACCTACACAAGTAATAATACCAATATGATTGTATGAGTAGATGGTTCACGCCCTCATAGACATAATTTAGATCATTTAGGAGGGGGCTGCTTTGACCCTGCCCGTCAGGGCCAATCCCTCTCAGTTCGGGCTGGCCCAAGAAAAAGATTGAAGAGGAGCGGGAGGACTGCAGACAGGCAACAAAGTTTCTTGTCTCTGACGTTGAGATCGCTATATCAAGGCTCTGAATGGAACAAACCTGTCACCTTAGGATGTCTAAAGTGGACATTTCTGTAAATTTCTACATACTGAGAAGCGACTTCAAAAAGTGCTAGAGATTGAATAAAGTCAAGAAGTTTATAATGTGTAAAACAAACCAGGTCTGGTTTGGGGGGGGGGGGGACGGAAAGTGTAAAAAATGAAAATAAAGCCATAATCAAAAGCCATTCCGAACGACATGATCATGTGGCAACACCACAGCAGAAGCAAATGTAGTATGTTTGCTTGAGTCAGTCAAGAGAAAATATTTTTTTACTTACAACATCCCCTCCCTCTGCCACCTGGTACTCTCCATCTGTAAGCAAATGTCTCAGTTCAAATGACACAGTTTGGGGGCAAGGGGTGAAAGCACAAACACAGAAACAGAGAGACAGAGCGGGGGTGGGATGGGGGGGG